TATGTACAGTCTGAGCACCCTTTGGAAATCGGTGAAATTTGGGATGCATTATGTGATGGATGCGATGCCATGCTTCCCAGAGTTGACCATTAACACTGTTAAAAAAATATAGTATTTTTAAATATATAATTTATTAACGAGCCTTCTAATTAATCATTCTTGTTATTTTTACGAGTTTTTCTCTAATATCATAAGAGGGCCCAAATTGATATGAGAACTTAAATCTTCACGTAAGACATTATATGTGTAGAGAGATTAAAAAAAAAAAGTTTAAATTTTCAATATTGAATCTTTGAATGGGGTGATTTGCTATGCATAAAATGTTATTAAGAAGATGCATAATGTTAACCAAAACTTACACACAATCTCCTATATATGGACATGTGAGTGTGTACATATATAAAAAATTGTGACTTTCCTTTTGAAACAAAGTGTTCACAAAAGGGCATGCGCTATAGACTTTTTTTCAAAAGAAAAAGAAAAGAAAGATGATTAAAAGAAGGGATAAGCATAGTTGAGAGTCTTTCTTTTGCCACAAAATATGCATCACATTTAACAAAGTTAGTTGGATATTGGTGGATTTTAATGAGATAAAATAAACACATCTTCTTTTACCTTATTTGGAATATAGGACCCTACCAATTCTAACATGAGTTGCCACCTTTGGCATAAAATACAAGTGGGTGATGGAATCACTTATAGCTAGTTGTTTACAATTAATCTTCTCATTTGACTTTAGGTTTTTTAGCAACCAAATTAACCTAAGTCACCTCTCATTTTTGGGTTCTGATCAAATCCAAATTGGACATTTCTTCATAGGTATAAGGTTTTGGTCTAATGGCGGCACCATGGCCAAAAGAAGATGACAAATGCCATATGATATAAATTTCACTCATCAGGTTTTGGTGTCATTTACTCACTCTACGTGACCATGAACAAAGTTTTAAGGTTAATTACTTTACATAGTCTAAATCCATCTTCATATCAAATATAAGTTATACAAGGTGGTTTAATTTTAATTTATTAGTAAATTAGTAAATTTAAGAAGAATGTAACAGATTAACTTGTTCAAATTATTGGGTAAGTTAATAATTTTGGCCTTTTAGTTTATTTTGATTTATCCTACCTATCTCGTCAATTTAAACAATTCGGTGGAGTGGAATGGATTGACTAGCGATCCATTTTGAAAAAAATATTTATATAGTAAAAACTAAAATTAAAATAAATATAATTAAAAATATTATAATTTTTTATTATGTTATTAAAATATATAAATATTATAATTAAAATACTAATTAATTAAGTTTAAATTATTAATTATAATTAAATATTTCAATACAAGTATTTTTTTCAATTTATCCAATAAAAAATATAATTAATGAATAAAGACTTATAAAAATCTATATAATTATAAGTATATTTTTAAATAAATATATATAAAAAATATTGATGGATTAAAATGTTAATAATCACATGACAGAATATACTAAGATTTGTAGTTTATGTATACTCATTTTAATTTATCATAGGCTATAAACTAATCTATACTATGATTATAAATAATATTTATTTTATTAAAATATATGTTAATGTGTGCGCAGTAGTGGATTTTTATAAATAATTTTAGACATCAAATAATATATAATTAAAAAATAACGAAAGAATATTAAAAGGTAAAAAAAATTTATTTAATTATTTATTTTAATATTTATATAAAAATCAAAATGTAAGGTTAAAACTGTAAATATAAATTGGGGACCTTCTCAATAAAATCGCGACTAATTTAGCAAATTTGCATGGTTTATAATGATCTTATCCAATTTAAACAAAATAAAAGTACACCTAGTCTCTGAAAAGAAATTATAATGTGTTGGTGATTTAATTTTTTTAATATATTAAATTATAATTACTAAATATGATAAATTGTTGACTTTTATATATAAAGTAATTTATAATAATCCGTTAATAATTTTTAAAAAAATCTATAATTATGCGTTATGTTGTACATTAAAAACACAGTACATGTTATTGATAGTTGGTCTTCCTTTCGAAAATTTAAGTTGTTAAAATGGTGATGGGGTGAGTTACAATTAATGAGTGAATTAAATTAATAAACTTTAAACTAAAAACAAACATATTTTTGTCCACCTTTAACTAGTTCAAATTTATATTATCCAAATATCAACAAAAGAATTACATCATTAAAAAAAATTCAAATATTTATGGAACATTTCTTTATTAAAATTTTCAGACTTTACCAAATTCAGATGAAAATGTGTTAAAAATTTATTTGATCTAAATTTTTATAGAACATTAACAAAAATTTGTTATAATTTAGATTTTCATCTTATTATGATTCGTACACATACAAAATATTTGAAATTTTATACGGAGTAAAAGTATAATTAAAATATAATATATAAAATATTATTTTAAGGTTGGATAGATTATTTTATTCAAAGTTAAATAACACCAGACAAAATAAATGAGGTATGATGAGTTTAGGATTTAAGGGTTCCTCAATTTTTCTTGAAATGAGTTGATAGTTTTAACTCATTTTGTCTAGTTAGTTAATCCGATGAACTAAAGACGGGATAAGATAAACTGGTCTACTTGAAAAAAATATATATTTATATATTAAAAAAAAAATATAATTAAAATATTATATTTTTGTGTTGAAATATATAAATATATTATAATAATTTAAATTATAAAAATTAATTAAGTTTAAATTATTGACTATAATTAATTATTTTAATATAAAATATAGTAATTTTTTAATTTATCTAATAAAACTATTAATTAATAAATAAAACTTAAAAATTATTTATATAAGTAAAAATATTATATAAAAAAAATTATTGGGTGACTAAATCGTTAATCAACTTACTTCTTGATAGGACTAAGATCTATAATGATATGTTTTACCTTCCTTAATTTTTACGTATCTATGATGAACTTCTACTCTCCTAAGAAAATTCAAGCTGAAGAATCTATGTTCGATGAACTTCTACTCTCCTAAGAAAATTTCAAGCCGAAGAAGACAAATGTGTTAACTTTCCAATTTGGTTGTGATTGACCAAAAGCCAAATTGTACAAGGTAAATTCCCATTATTTACATTTACAAACATTAGATTTATTGCATTTATTTTTCTTGTAAAACATAAAAAGAAAATATTAGAATTAGCATGTGAGGGATTGGGTTTCCCAGCACGTATTAAACCATATTAGGTTGAGAAAATACAAGCTTCAGACATCTTCTAGACTTGATTTGGCCTAACATAAAAATGCCCTAAATTGAGGCAACCTGAGCCAAATTAACCAAACCGTTTCATTTGGAAGTTCTATTTAGAACCATTCATCACTCTCTAGAGAATCATCTCAAAAACCTAAAATGGGATTTAAGCAAAGTCTTCTATGAAGGTCATATGATGTAGCATGTTGGAACTTTCTTGCTGTGATCATTGCTCATTATTGATCAATGCTTTCTGGATGGGAAATTTTTGAACAATCACTCTGATTTTTAAGGAAGTTTTTGAGAAAAAACAAAAAGTAAAGTTTACATTAATTAAAGGGACACATGAACAATAACATTATTTTGAATGAAAATATGAAAAAATATATATTAATTTAAGAGAGGAGAAAATATGAGTAATTTATAATTTTTCTTTTTAGGTAAAATTTAAAATCATATAATTTTAAGTAATCAAAATTTTCTTATAAGTTCTTACCATTATTACGTTATAATTACATTTAATAATATTGTAATTCACCATAATATTTCTTTGTCACTATTATAAATTTGAAATAAATAATATATTATAAATTGAAGTTGCTCAATATTACATTCATTTGTTCTCACATCAAATTTATATAATTTCTTTGTCTCATTAAAAATCTAGTATGACGTTTAACTTTATAAATAACATTTTTGACTAATTATAAATATATTAAATTTTGTAGCAATTAGTTTTAACTTCGAAAAATCAATAAATTTATTATATATATATATATATATAAGATAATAATAGTAAAAAAAAAGAAAGAAATTTTTTGTGTTTTTTTAAAAAATTATTCTCTTTTATGCAATTTTATTTTAATATCCAAAGCAATAAGTTGCTTCTAATTACTTTCATCTCATTCTAATTTTTAAATTAGATGCTAAAAAACATAATAAATAATTATTAAAAAAAATTAAAGTAACATATCCAATATTATATTATACCTAACAATATCTGAAGACCAAATTTGCGTTTTGCATGCTTGGAAAATGAATGCCACTGATAAAGTGACACGTGGAGGGTCCAGTTTAAGGTATCTGACGACGTTCTTGCTCTGCTCTACTTACGTTAACACACTGCAAAAAATTGCACATTTTCTTAATAAACAATCCACAGTCACGACAGCTGTCGCCACGCGCCAGTGCGGAACACGCGGCTTCCCAACACAGTAGAGCAACATGGCGCGTGTTTTACACGCTGCATGGACGGGATTGGGCCAACCGTTTTTGCCAAAAATACCTTAACCGAGTAAAGCATGATATAAAGAAACTTGTAAGAAACAGGAAACTCAGACCAACCCTAAGCTGCACTCCATTTTATGGTGGAGATTGGAAGAAGATAAAAAAATAGAAAAAAAAAAGGAACATTTGAGGATGAAAAAGCTAAGTTAGAAAAGAGAGATAAACACTTACAACTATTGTGTTGTTGTTTGCTTCGTTATGTTTCTCTCTCTCTCAAATTTTCCTCTCTCTAGGGTTCCAAGTTTTGAACTCCAGAACTCTCTCTTGTTTTTCACAAATTTGGCTGCACTTGGGTACTGACCCAGAAAAGAAGGTTCAACAGGTACCTAAGAGAAGGAAGGGGTGGAAAAAAGTAGAAACTGTACGTATGAAAGAAGAAATAAACAAATAAATAAGAAAAGGGAAAATTTTGAATAAGAGTGGGGAATAGAATAACACAATAATAGTATTAATATTGATAGCAATTAAGTGTGAAAATATGGGGAGGGGAAGAGTGGAACTGAAAAGGATAGAGAACAAGATAAACAGGCAGGTAACGTTTGCAAAGAGGAGAAATGGTCTTCTCAAGAAAGCCTATGAGCTTTCTGTTCTCTGTGATGCTGAGGTTGCCCTTATCATCTTTTCCACCCGTGGCAAGCTTTATGAATTTTGTAGCAGTTCAAGGTAAGTGTTTTTGTGTTTTTGCACTCATAATCATCTCAAATTTAATGAGTTTCTCTCTTCTTTCTATTTATATATTTATGTGTGTTCGTGTGAATATATATAAAAGATTGTTTGGCTCCCCTTTGATTTAATTATGTTTGAGCAGATGAGTATTTTTTTCTTTTCCTTTTTTGATTTATTAATATTCCAACATAACTGCTTGAATCTTATTTTTTAGTGTGAGTCTGTGGATTCTGTGAGTTCTAACTGGCCTGAGAGAACTTTCATACTGGTCTTTCCTATTCTTTTTATCTCTTCCCTATGAGGCTGGAGTTGAAGTAATTAACCAATCTTTCAACTTTGGTTTGGTCTGCTGAATGTAAGGTTGTGAGATCTGGTGATGCGGTTCATGATCTGAAAGATATGTGATGTTTTGTTTTCTTGTACGGAAATTTTTGGTGGATTTTGTTGATGGATTACCTTTCCTTTCATGGTTTCTCTCCCCTTCATGCTTTGAGGGATTTCTGCATAATTTTATGTAACTTATTTTCCTCCTTGGACTCTTTTTATTAATCAAAGGCTATAGATCTGTGGTTGTTTCATATTAAGCTGGTTCTGTTTGTTTTTAGTTTTTCCTTAAAAGTTTGGTTATATCTATGTATGTGAGTTGCTGACCAAGATGTGTTAGCAGCAGTACTTGATTGTCCTGAAATGAAGTCTCATGACAACTTGAACACATCTTAAGTCCAATGGAACAAGGACAGAATGTAAGCATCCAGTGTGTTGCACCAAAAACAAATAAACACTATTTGTTCACTCCAAAACGAATAGTTGGACATTTAGAAAGCAATAAAGGGTGTTTTATTTCATCACCTTGCCACTGTGTATCAGTGTACGGGACCTTTTCCCTGAAATTGCTGCATTTAATAGTTATTTATTTTTCTTAATAAAGGGGAAATCATTATATCTATCAATCTAAGCATATATAATTTGAACATGTATAATATCATTTTAGTATTCTCCATGTAAACAAATATGCTTTTTCTTCACTTTTTGTGTTAACTAATTACACTTTCTTTTCTACCCCCTTTAGTTTTTGTTCTTTAGTTGAAAATTTATCATGTGTACATACAAATTTGCATTATGCCTTCCTATTAAAGCCAAGTACTTTAGTAATGAATTTATTAGTACAGAAAATTGAAAGGACAAATGAGGTGGCTGTGCTATTACGAGTCTATCTTATTGAAGTTCAATGCTGAGAAAGTTTTTTATGCTGCACATTTAATGACAATAAATTAAACCATGTTATTGACTTCTCTTAATTTTTGTTGATTTCTTTAGGGAATTAGACATTAAGAATGGTTTGTTGTAGAAATAAATTCTCACACCGACATGTGCTTTTGAATAGCATTCGATAATTTATATCATGGGACAACTGCACAGCATATTGATTTTAAAGGTTATTTTTTTCATCAGTGTGATTGATTATATTGTTTGAGTGCTATATATTTAAGTACGAAGAATTCAGATATTTGTCTCAAATTAAGGTAGGGGGATTAAAGGTTGGCTAGTATATGAGTTGACAAAGGCAAAACTGACCAAAGAAAAAGCTGCATAACTTTGGATATAACCCTAGAAAACTGTGTATTGGCAATTAGAGACTAGTTCATATCAATATTGCAATTAATCTTTTTTTTTATTCAAATTTTGTTTAACCAGCTTCTAAATTATATATCCAACACTAGCTGTTGTATAAGCAATGCTATTTATGCTTCTATTAAGTTTTGACACAACTCCATGCACACGTGTTTTCATTAAGAAGTGCAGGTGGAGTCATGCATGCATTTGTGTTTAACTGTAACTACAACAAAGGTGTAAATATAATTCTTCATGTATAGCGCTTTAAAGGTATATTTTTATCTTGTTTTAGTATGTTGATCATTAAAATGAGATAATTATATAATAATAATAATAATAATACATGAGTTGTATATTTACCTTCTAATTTCATGAAGTTGTCATGGATCTTAATGTGTTTTTCTTCCAAGTTCTGAGTAGTTTGATATTCTAACTTCCCGTTGTATTGCTAAGATAAAGTTGAATCAAAACAAGGAAAATAGTGGTTAACATACAGAAGCTTCTTTTTTTATCTTTTTACCAACAGATTATAATCAATCCTACGTACAATTTCATCTCACATAGTGGAAATTTGCAGTGATATTGTTGGGTCAACTTGCATTTTCTTCAAACTTTTGCCCTAGAAATCAAGGTTCTGATATATTGCTACATAGTAGTATATAAAGTGTTTTACTAGTTCATTCGAGTCGTATAGTTAATCATCAATCACTTCACACCAAGCTAATTTGTTCTTGGCCATTGCATGTATGTTTTCTGCAGCCTTATTATATTGATTGCATCTCACTAGCCCCTCTATCAACAACTTCAACTATTAGTTTAGGAAACTAGTTAGTAAATTGTAGACTTTTACTTTATAATTTGAAACCATTTTGTTTGTTTTTATTCAGCTTGAAACGTCTCATAGTGTGATACAGATGAATAATAAAATATCGTGTGATATATTCATACACCTTCATCAATTTGACTGGTTCTTCCTTTCTCTTTCTTCAATATGCAGCATGCTCAAAACACTTGAAAGGTACCAAAAGTGCAGCTATGGTGCAGTGGAAGTAAGCAAACCTGCCAAAGAACTTGAGGTATGAAAATCATTGTTTAATAATCTTTCTGATCCAAAATAATAGCAGGTTTTTTACCTTTAAAAATTTTCAAATTAACTGATATTGTTATAAATTTTATTGCAATATTAATATTTTTTTTGTATTTGTTTCTAGATATTTATTGAAAGAATATTTGTATTTATTACACATAAAGTAATGATTTTTAAGGAGATTATTTCAATAAAATTATTTTATTAAGTAATATATTTATTGTTATTCTTAATGCCTACAAAAAGTTGGATGAAGGTAATAAGATTACAGAAATAACATCTCTTCAAATTTTCACTTTGGAAAAATTGCTATAACTTTTATTGCCAACATATTAAAATATGTTATGTAAATTATTCTTTCTATTACATATGGCAATGCAACTTTGTTATTCTTCATTTGTCATTTGCTTTTGTAGCAGAGCAGCTATCGTGAGTACTTGAAACTGAAAGGAAGATTTGAATCTCTTCAGAGGACCCAAAGGTGAACTTCTTATAACAGTACATACATACATACTATATATATATATATATATATATATATATATAACCTTTTAAATTTAGTAAGTAAAAAACCATTTAACTTGGCTTTTACTATTTTAATTTTTAAATTTTGTAGGTTAAGGTTTGATAAAACTTTCTTGCATTCAGTTAGTCATTATTATTGAATTTTCATATATTTTCAAAAATGGTTTACCAAATGCATCAGTAGTGTTTCCATTGAGACATGCACATGTTCCATGCTGCAGAAACCTTCTAGGTGAAGACTTGGGTCCGTTAAATACCAAAGAACTTGAGCAGCTTGAGAGGCAACTAGATTCATCTCTCAAGCAAGTGAGGTCCACAAAGGTAATAAAATATCAGTTTTCATTTTTCAGAAAATTATACACAGAAATTTCATTAATATGGTACTTATGCTATTGCATTGGCCATGGCCGCCACTTCACAAATGCAGCTTCCCCCATCTTTCTGTAGGATATTTTCTATAACATTTTATGTTCTATGCAAAGGTAAACTTGGGACATGTTTTTCTGGATTAGGACTTCGAGGTTCAATCAGCTGTATGACAGAATTGTAATGTTAGAGCAAATTGATACCAACAGGATATTTTTCGTCATTGAATATCCCTCCAACATTTTATTAGCCAAGAAATTGCATGTATTTTCGTTATTGATTATTTTATAGGTTGGAAATGCTCATTAGAGTCTGAAGTTCCCTTATGAATGCTGATTATGAATACTTGTTTATCTGACACTATCTGAAATTACTTTGCAGACCCAATTCATGCTGGACCAGTTAGCTGATCTTCAAAATAAGGTATTTATTGTTAGCATAGTTACAGAACAAAGAAACTTTTTGTGTGGCTAACACTTTCAAGCTATTGTTTGCATACAGGAACAGATGTTGGTAGAAGCAAACAGAGCTTTAACCATGAAGGTAACATTAAACACTATCCATAAAGTTCATCCTACAACGAGCAAGATTTGTAATATAGGATCCCTCTTGCTTGATTCAGGCAAAATGATTTTTTAGACGTTATACATCTGACTTTTTTGTTATATATATATGTTCCTATAAATCCATTTAGATGTGCAACCTTATCAATGATTATGTATTGATATTTTTGTTCTTGTTGTTCTGTTGCATACTGTGATTGTGCACTTGTTTTTAATATTTACAACATGGAAACTCTCTTCATCAGTGTTTAATGGAAGTTGTATTCTTGTATCTTTCTTCCATTCACATTAATTTCCTCTAGTGATGATCTGGTTCATGACTACTATGTTGGCAGCTGGATGAAATCAATTCAAGAAACCAGTATAGGCAAACATGGGAAGCTGGTGATCAAAGTATGCCATATGGTACTCAGAATGCTCATTCTCAAGGCTTCTTCCAGCCTTTGGAGTGCAATCCCACATTGCAGATAGGGTAATATAGAATCAGTTTCTTGGTTTTTTTGTGCTGAAGGTGATTTTAATTGTATGTTAATGTCTGTCCCTTGATGCAGTTCTGACTACAGGTACAACCCTGAAGCCTCAGATCAGCTAACTGCCACAACTCAAGCTCAACAAGTTCAACAAGTGAACGGTTTTATTCCTGGATGGATGCTTTGAGCTAAGCTCAGTATTTAGCTAGCTAAATAAATAAAATTAGCAAACACCTAAGGCCAAAGTCAAAATGCCTCTTGGTGTTGGATATGTGTAAATGCTGCTTGTGCTTCTGTTATTTGTTTTGGCATAAAAACAGCAGTGACTGACTTAAAACTATTCAAACTTTAGCCATTGACATTTGGCATGTAAGAAGGTTACACTATTTTGAATATCTTTGAAGGACAAGTATTATCTGACTGAATGACCAGTTAATGTCATTTTTATTTTGCAACCAGTTACTATTCTGCTGCTTTAACTTCTTGCATTCATTAGTGGGGGGATTGTATTATGATAAGAAAATTTTGTGTATTATATACTATGGCTTTGGCAATGTCACATGAATTTTTATTTCAAGGGTGAACTACAAAAAAGATAACAACTCAATGGAGATATAATCTCTGGCCCTTCTACTACGAAAATATGAGACCCCCACAATTGTAATGTTCAAGTCAAATGGGCAATTGATTGTTTTGTTTGATATCTCAACCAGCAACTTTAGAATTTCGTTAATTATTATAAACAGCATCTGGGATAATATGTAACCAGAATATCTTTACACATCAAATATTACGAAGAGATATTAAAGGGTCTTTCTGCTACCGGGGCAAAAAGAAGCTGCCATTAGGATCTAGCCAATGTAAAGGAATGTAAAGAATGAAGTTACACAAGTGAAGATCAACTCTAGTAGAGAGTTTCATTCGCAAAGTTGACCTCCAATAGAGTGCTATTACAGCTCCACTTGAGCTAATAAAGCATTTTCAAGATCCATTTTCATATATCGCCATCTTTTGCTTAGAATTCTTTTGTGGACGGAATTAGCTGATGAGATAACGACCCAGCATTGTCTTAGAGAGTTGTACTTAAAAAAGTGATATTATTTAATGTCAGTGACTTAAGTGTTAGAGTATATTTGTAGGTATTCTCATCACTGACCGTTATTCGGACCCGAGAGGTTGCTCCATCAAGACTATCTGACATTCGGGCGTGCAAGAACAAATTATATATTTGTAGGTACTTATCACTTACAGTTATTCGGACCCCAAGAGCTTGCTCCGTCAAGACTATGTTAAAACTATTTGGACATTCGCTTCTTTTTTCAAGAACAAATTATATATTTGTAGGTACTGCTCATCATTCACAATTATTCAACTCCAGAGTTTACTCCGTCAAGATTATCCGGACATTTAGTCGTGCAAGAATAAATTCTATGATATAATATCATCTATATTTAAGTATTTAGTGTAATGAACTGTAACTTTTAATATTGTAGAGTACACTGAATATCTCCGGAGTTATACCGAAGAGGTGTAGGAGAGGTAAATTGAGAGAGAGAATAGAAAGAAGAGGGGATTCAGGACCACAAGAAGTGTCCATGCTTTTTCTCCCACCACTTCTTTTATTCGTCAACAAAGAAGAATCATCCTTTCTAACTTTTATGGGCCGCCATGGCATCACACAACCTACTTATCATTCATTTCATAATCACTTCAGAAAACATTGTGTCAATCAATTCAACACCTGATTCATCAACTTGTTCCCTCCATAAATCTTCATCATTCAATTTTCCACGTGTTTTCCTTCCTCAATCTTTAATTACTCACATTTTCTATTTTATTCAAATTTATTGAAATCATAATTCACTCACTTATATATTAACCACCTCTGTTTTCATAATTTTTAATAAATTCTAAACAATAATGAAAAAAAAAAATAATCTAAACAAGACATTTGAACTTTGTTAAAGATTCTAGGAGAGAATAAACACCATGACTCAAAGTGGAAAACATAGGTCAAATCTCCTATTATACTAGCTTGAAAATGTTAACTTTACACTTTGAATCAATGTGTTAACTATTATTCCTTAATTATCATTAAAAGACTATAATTAAAATATTAAGATTTGTTTGTTTATTATTTTTAAAAATAGTTTTTAGTTTTTTTAAAAATTGATAACTATATTATTAGAACATTTTTTGAAAATTATTTAAAAACTAAAAAAATTAAAACTATAAAATATATATTTTATTTTATGGATATTAATATTTTTTACCTAATAATTATATTAAATAATTCGTTTTTATTATTATAAAATTATTTTTTAATTTTTGTTATGATATTTCAAAATTGATCACTAAAAAAAAAAAAAAATTAACAACCCTAAATGACAGTATAAAATATATCAAAAACTTTGATCTCATTATAGGTTATGTGATTAATCCATAATTAAGGAATTAGTCGCACGTAAAAACACATCACCCCTTCCTAAAAGGGTTTCTATGAGAATTTAACATATATCTCTATCCACAAACTGATTACTAAACAATTCTAATCAATAAGTCATAATAATTTTCTTGTAGCAATAAAATATTTTAGCATAAAGTCATCACTATAAAGACTTCAAAAATAAAATTAAAAGTTGTTCAAAAAAAAAATCCAATTATATCTATGGAAAAACAGACCAGTCCGTCCCGTTTTGGTCCGCCAAAAGCGGGGCGGGGCAGACTAACCCGTTATAGTCATGACGAGTGTAGACCTTGACCCGCCCGCCAAGGGACAGGTTGATCGGCTGACATGCCATAATTTAGAAAATAATAATTTATTTTTTAAAATAAATTTTTTTAATAAATTTAATAATAAGATTATTATTTGTTTGTCAATAATTTAATATATATATATATTATTTTAATTTAATAATATAAATCAATACATTGTTTTAAGAAATTATAATTTAGAATAATAATAAAATTTACATAATAATAAATAATAACAAATATATATATATATATATATAAATAACGTTAAAACTTATAAAATTTATATTTTTTATATTGAAAAATTCAAATACCTATATATTTTTTATTTGATAAAACTTCACATTATTTTTGGTTGAGTAATTCTTACATCTTTAATTCAAGTCATAAGGATAAAAATAACCAGATGCTTAGGATGAACAAGGAGAGCATGAGAGAGAATGTTGTATTTTAGTAAGGAGAATATTTTATGTGATAGTGAAACTTTTTTAATTCTCTTTTTAAAATTTTTAACTTTATATATTATTTTTATAATTAATTTTATTACAATAAAAAATTATTTTTTATTAATTAGACGGGCTGCGTGGCTAGCGGGTTGACGAGCTTGGCGGGACAGGCCAAAGCGAACTGGTGGGCAGAAAACACCAACCCGCCCCCCGCCATATTTTTTTGTGGGCTGCGGACCAGCCTATCGGGTCTGACCCGTTTTGCCATCCCTAATTATATCCTAATAAATAAATAATTGACCTTTAGATATGTGGAATGGACGTACCCAAAATAACACCAACAAAATAACACCAACAAATAAAGAGTAGCACATTCAATGGAACTTGTACCCATTAAAATGCTATTATTTTCAATAAAGTCACTTACGCCATGCATCAACTCTAAAAAAAAATGTTAAATTATGATAGTTTCAAAAGTGTAACGAATTTAAAATTTTGAATACGTATTTTTCGTATAAATGTTAAGAAATTCTATTGAATATATTATAATATTGTATTAGATATATTATAATATTGTGATATACAAGTACGTATAATCCTATTTTAGTAAATCGATTTTATAATAGGGTTTGAGCGAGCTATTTCAACATTTTGTAAGATGGTATAAGAATTAAGTTTAAAGTTATTCGGACAATATTGGTTAATAGTATTAAATTTAATTATTTATCATCATATCACTCTTGAATATTCATTCTTTATACAAGAGAGCGTGATGAAAATTTTTTCTCAATATAAAAAGATGTGTTGAGAAATTTTATATTAATCAAATATATAATAACATTTTAGTAGATAATAGAGAAAATCCTTATTTTATTGAATTGGTTTTATAATATTAAGTTAGATATTTCACAATTTTCTAAAAATAAGAAATATACAATAGGATAAAAAATTTCTTATATATATATATATATATATAATTGGACATTCTGATGCCAGTAAGATTTATGATCATTCGATAAAAAAATAATCCTTTTAACTTTCGAACAAGTATTAACAATAATAAAATATAAAATATTAATAATATCTTAATCTTAATTATATAAATTATGATAATAACATAATATATTATTTCTTAATCTAAATAATAATAATTTGATATTTAATTTAAATAAAATAATAATAAAACATATACTCTCCAATACAAATTTCACTTAATGAAGGGAGTTAACAAGAACTTCAATCCCTAAGTTTTAAAATAAGTTTTTAAGTGAATAAGAGTGATTAGGGTTGATTATTGATGAGGTTTCTGAACAAAATAAGAAATCACCTTCAATGTCAAGTCACTTAACTCTTTCTGAAGCTTTTTGTTTTTGTTATTTATTTATTTAAAAAAATTGTGCTGACAATGCTAGCATTGAAGAAGGCTCAACAAAGGCCATATAGATAATAGATGATGGTCCACTGCTTCCTCAGCAACGGACACGATTTGAAAATGTTAAAGCAAACCCATTTAATTGATGTGCCACTGAGTGCCACCATGTTCCATTCTATTAACATAAGTAAATAAAAATTAATAATTAAAACTCAAAAGAGACCAAAATATTCATAATTGTGAAGCTTTGTTTTTTTGTCTGTCGGATCCCATTTGTAAGAACTATTGCTTTCTTTTTAAACTACAATTTTGGTCCACTAAATTTTGCTTTTTCTAAAAAATAAAATAAAAATCAATGATTTCAGTCTAATTGTCCAAACTAAGACTTTTAGAATTAATATTCTTTATCATTCTATTTAATTAGTTGTCAAAGAAATTATAAAATGATGTGAAAGTCAAGGTTAAACTAATCACAATCACCTTAATATAATGCCAATTATTGTGTTTTTAATATTAATATCTATCTTAATTTTGACAGCTGAATTAAAATAAACAATTTAACAAAAAATATATGAAAGATTGAATTTTCTATTTTGAAACAAGAGAACCAGAGTTAAGAATTATAGTATTTCTTGTATTACTTTTTTTTTCATTTTAAATTAGAACTCTCATATTAAACGAGAGACTATGAGAGTTAATAACAATGATAATCTTAAAAAACAAAATCTTAATTTAAGAAACACTTTTTAATACCGAATAATTAAATATTTGATGTTGTAAACAAAAACGAAGGATATATAAAGGATTTATTTATAACATTCTTTTTCTTACTTTCCAAATTATTGCATCGTGACATATTGAATCACAATGATAGAAATCTAAAAACGTTGAATGAATTTAATGATCTTTTGTAATATATGAAACATCCAATGACATGAACCAAAACTAAAATAAAAAACAAAAACATTTTTTCAAAACTTAATCAGCTGAACCAAATTTAATTTTTAAAATAATAAAATCAAAGGAATTATGTTTTCTATTTTTGATTTAAGACTTAATTTAGTGTTATATTAAAAAATAATAAAAGATAAAGATAAAAAGTAAGAATGAACATAATGTAGTCATAACTAATTATTATATCAATAATAATTTTATGTAGAATGTAACTTTTAATAATCAATTATTAAAATTATATCTTTTTTTTCAAATAATAATAATAATAAAAATACCATATACGATAAACCAAACACTTAGCATGTTTGATTAAACCATTCATCATGATAGAGCATATAAGAAACACACAGCATATACGTTAAAAAGGATTGGACCACACCAATTTGTATTCTTTTGATACTTCAAAAGTCAGATCGCACTGTCCCACGTTTTATTTTTCAAACTTCATGCTCTACAAGAGAGCTATCTTTTATTGCTATTAAAACTTTTTTTGAATTTCTCTTTTCACATTAGTGTTATCAACCATAATTATATAATTCTCCTCATAATGAAGGCTTAAGACTTTAGATTAGGGTTTTTATAATCCTCATGGAATTCAGCATAGAATCAAGTTTAGTATAACTTGTGACTCACTACTCCATTAACTAAACTAGATTTTCTTGATTAATATCTTCTTATTGATCTTATTAATATTTTGTTCATGAGAATTCACACCTACTTTTAAAATTGGCAATAATAAAGATATTTTTTAGTTTGAATGTGTTTTCAAAAGTGTTGAAATTTTATTATTTTGAATTTAATTGATTTTTAAGAGTATGAATGTTTTATTGTAAAAAAATTATAGTAGTTATTGTTACCAAAGTTTGAAGAGGATGAGTTTTTCTCAATAGGTCGAGTAAGTGTAAGAAGATATCTATAAAATTTTTTAATATTTAAATAAATGTGTATGAAAGAAAAGATAATAGATTGTGAGTAAATTGAATGATAAAAACGAAATTCTAAACTTGTTTATATAAGAATGAATTATTATAATTATATGAAATATAAGAGTTATTTATCTTTTATCCCTTAAGTGAATGTTTCAAGGTATTTTTAAATTTTTTTAAGATGAATTCGTACTCTATCATATAAAATATTCATATATTATTAAAATATTTAGATACTTTTAAAATGTTCAATTAAAATATCTCGACACTAAAGTGCATAAATGTTTTAGAATGGGTTAAATACAATAATAAATATTAGTCTCTATATACAAATTTAAATAAAAGTTATTTTAACTCAAAATTAATTATTAATTTAGAATTATATTTTTATTTAATACAAAATAAAATGGAACATAGGCTTCCCTATTTTTGATTTTGATTTAACGCATAAATAAGATGTTATATGGCAATACAGCTAGGTGTCACTATGATGTTCAGAATGATAACTCTTTGACTTATTACACAAATAAAATTATAAATTCAGGGGGAATATTATTGAAAGTGTTCCCTTATTTCACTACATCGTAATTTTAAAAGGTTTTTGCAATGAAAATATGTGGAATTTTTTTAGGTATGTTTGTTTTATCTCACCCTTACTAGAAGTCCTTATAAAAAAAATAAAAAATCATGCAATAATATACTGTATATATTACATATACCTCCATACATTGTTAATATTTTTTATTATGTTTTTATTTAATATATATATATATATATATTAAAAAATTGAACAAAAAAAAAGAAAAAATAATTATAAAAATAATTTTTAAATGATAAAAAATTATTATAAAAAAATAGGATATAAGGGATGATAAAAAATCTACTTAAAACTAGTAATAATCAGAAAAAGTGACATATCTTTAAAAAAATTAAGTGATTAATTTTTTTATAAATATTTTAAAAACATGTCTTTAATTTTATAAATATTTTATTTATTTATTAATTAATATTTTTATTATTTTTTTAAATTACTACATATTAATAATGATATCCTCCCAATGCTATCTTCCCAATTAGTACATTATTTATTTGTCTATATCCTAATAGTATCTTCCCACCATGACATTAATATATATTTTACATAAATATATTTATGCATTTTCAAACTATATATATATATATATATATATATATATATATATATATATATTAAATTAACATTTTTTTCAATAAATGCATACTAATTTTCAAGCAGTAAACTAATGTAGTAAGTAGGTATCATCTTTTTTTTTTCTATAGGAACTCTATAATTAATTAACTTAGTTTTAAGGAAATATAATTCCATTATCATAATTGATGAGGAAAAAAAAATTCAAGAAATGGGATCTCTCTCAGTGTCCAAGACATCCCAAATCTTTTTTTTTTTGGTTCTTTTTAATTACTTTAGTTACTTTGAGGAAAAATAGTTTTTTTTTTTAAGTTATTTGAGCAATTTTATTATTTAATTTAAAAAAGAGTGAGTTAATTTATTTTATAAAGGGGAATTGATGTAATTTCTTTCTTCTAGTAAAATTATGCAGGTGGAAGTTGCATAAACAAATTCAATTAAAGAATTTTCATGTAAAACTATCACAACAAATATGAGATAAAAAAAGTTTAACAAGAGTTTTTTTATTTTTTTTTTTTGTGTGTGAAAATTGGAAATAAGAAAATTTTTGAGAAAAGATAATCACGTGGATGTAATGGAAGGATGACCCATAAATGTCATAAATGAAGGTATGGAAAGAAATTAACAATAATGTGTCAATTTACATATAGCAATGACTGAAGATGTTCTGGTTAAGAAATCGATAATCACTTTTTAAATGAAAAAATAAAATAAAATTATGAAGTTGATATTGAAATCAAATGCAACCTAATAGATAACTCTATGTGTGATGTTGACTTTACATTTAAGAGCCTTATCTGAAAGAATAAGTGTTAATAGCAAGTAATCAAGCCTTAGAAATTGGTTGGATCCATACTATCAAAATAATGTTATTATTATTCATTATAATTCAAAGATAAAATATGCTACTATGAGACATGATTAAGGTTGGTTATCCATGGTGAAAGAGACTTACCAACTTTATCTATGCAACTAATTTTTCCTTCTCCATTTCATCAAAAGAAAATTTTTCCTTCATGTTACTAATTTTAGATCCAAAAACATAAGCTTTTTCTTATGCTATATCATTAGCATTCATTGCCTAAGTATGAACTTAAACCTTTTTTGCCCACTAAGGATAATTATAATAGGAATAACAAAAGATTGTGGGTATGGATGTCTTTTGGGTTTCCTTTAATACATCTAACTTCAACATGTTAAGCTTGTTTATAAAATTTACATAAAAAAAGGAATAATTTTCTTATCTTTTCCTTAATATTGTTGCTAGTTATATCAACGGTTTGAGACAAAGACAAAAAAGGTTAAATCACAATTGAATTATGACACTTAAAATAATATAGAAAGAATGCCTTAGTCATAAATCATACAATTTTTTTCTTTTTCAAATAATAAATATTCAATACAAGGGTTTGGTGTTGAGTTAAAGTTACAATTTTGATTTCTAGTTAGATAATTATTAAGAAAGAGAATGACGTGGATAGGATAAATTATCGTTTACTAGATATAAGTCAATAAGACACAAGATAATATTTAAATAAGATTTTTTATGAGTTGTATAAATTATTTTATGGTAAAAACAATGAATCAAGTTACAATTTATTATATTCTTATATATAAAAAAAATATGTTTTGAGTAGACGTAAATTTTTAATTTAATAAATATTCATTATATTAAAATAAAATATCTTTTAATTTAAAAATATTTTTCTTATCATATATGTGTAAATCAATATATTTTTGAAAGTCATTTTAGAATATGATTATATTTAACTTGTAATGTATAAATTTATATTAAAAATTTTAAACTATAAAACTATGTAATAATACGAGATAAATTGAAAGTGTAAATGTCATAACAATCTTATAATTTTTATCCTATATTTTTATTTATGAATATAAAATAAAATTGATTTGATAAATTAAAACAAAATCAAAGCATACGTAATTTAATGAAACCGTGAAGACCGAGGAACTACAAACCTATTTACATGTTATCGTCCGCATGTATGGAACCTGGCCCCACAACCTCGTACGGTACTGTCACAATCGGTGACATCAATGACGTGTCTCTCTCCAACAATCCTTCATCGACAACGCATCGTACCCACTTCTCTTCTTCCAATCTCAACTCGACACCGCGTTGTACCAGACCCAAACCTCGATCCTTTCTCTCTCCTTCATTTTCTTTTTTTCCCAAATTTTCCATTTTTCTCTTACTTTTCTTCACCATGGAAGAAACTACCTTCGCTTTAGAACCGTTTTAGCACACCACAAAAATAGAAAGATACCATGCTATTATATACGCGAATTCCTCACGCACACCACCCACTTTCTCTTCTCCTTTCATTTTTTTTTTCCTTCTTTTGTCATCCCTTAGGTATTATACTCTCTTTCTTTACGCTCTTCACTATGCTCTTCACTCACTCTAGGGTTTCCTTATTTGTGTGCTCTTTTGTTTGTTTATCTATTTCTCTCATTTCTTCTTTCTTAATTGGGAAAGTTTGAAGATGGGAAGAGGGAGAGTTCAGCTGAAGCAGATCGAGAACAAAATCAGTCGCCAAGTCACCTTCTCCAAAAGGAGAACGGGGCTGCGCAAGAAGGCTCATGAAATCTCTGTGCTCTGTGATGCTCAAGTCGCACTGATTGTCTTCAATGCCAAAGGGAAACTCTTTGAGTATTCGTCTGAATCCAGGTTTGTCATTCTTCTATATCTTTTTCTTTTCTCTCTTTTTACCCTTGCCTAGATTCCTTGTTGGGTTCTTCTAGATTCACTGTGCTGTCTCTTTCACTCGTCTATGTATTTCCCATATCATGTACGTATGTATGTCCGTACATGAAATTTCATACTTTGCAAATCTTTCTAAATTATTCAGTTTTTTGGTTAATTATCTCTTTTTGTTTGCGTAATTTTCCTTTTTTTTTTCATTCTCTAGCTTGGTTCAAGGTTAGACTCAATAATTCCACTAAGATTTCAAATTACAATCACACTTCTTATAGTTCATCTTAGTATCTTTGTATCTGTACAAAATTATAGACAGATGTAATTTATATGACCATAATTATGGTCGCGAAGTCACCAAAAACCTTAACCTTGCATTCAAAATCGCATTATAGATTGTTTTTTAAAAAGCCTTGATACTCGGTTTTTGACCAAAAGGTGAAGTAATAGTAATTAGCACTATACAGTTTTCTAATTTGTTGATCTTCTATTTTCAATTTTTTTTGGCTAATTCTGGTTTTAATGCATATTACCCACTTCTCGCACATAGCCACATCCAAGTCATGCTTGAATCATGGAAGTTTTTTTTATTATATTCCTTCTGTGATAGTTTTTATATTTACTTCATAAATCTTATTAGTTAATTTAATATTGAAGACAGTGAATTTGCTGGCTCAAACCGAAGTAATAAAACTCTGACTTACATTGAACTAGGAGAATAATACTGAGCTGAGCTCCAAAATGGTTGAAGTGTATTTATATTTGTATATAAATACACAAATCTATTACCGAACGAAAAAACATTGACAGTACCCTAGAGCTTTCCATGCCTTTTTGGCTGCTGCACTCTCTTGGATTCTGTAACCCGGTTATGTGGCTGTTTATGTAATACACTGGTAAGGAGAAGGTCACTGAAAAATTATATAGTATAATATATTATGTGGGAAGAGAAAAAGTGAAAGAAAGTGAGATTTTTAAGGTGAATTTTGGGATTCTTGCACCGTTAGTATTATGGATGTGAAGAGTAACTGAAATAGTTTATATTATTTATACATCTCAATTTTATAGTATAACTTTTTATCCATCTTTGTCGTCAATCTTATATTACACTTCTGTCTTTTCCTCTCTTTCCTATACTCCTTTGTTATGAAAAATATGGTCTAATATTTTTCAAAATACAATTTCTTAACTTAAAATGAGGATTCTGCACTTCTTTTATATTAATATGCAAAATGCCTGCAGATCCAGCCACTTTTTCTTACACAACCTGTTTTTCTAGATACTCATAAATTCACTATCATATATATTTCTGATGTTAAGTTTTAAAGTTGAGTACATTAACTGTTATTATAACAATTAATCTCTTCCTCAAAATTTCCCATGTCCCTCTAATTTATAAATATCAAAGCAAACAAAAGTTAATAACTTACCTGCTTCATATTTTAAGTTAATTTTCGAATCCCAAAAATATTCATTGAACTAATATAGGTAGCTTTTCCTTTTTGATATGATTGCATTTTTTATCTGAGAATATTAGAGCAGTCAAAGATCGTACAATTATGGATTGACATGTTCGTATTTTTTTTTCAATTTTTGTTTATTAATTTCTAAACTATATATTTTTAAAACTTTAACAGTTGTTTAGTCTTTCTCTCTCGCTCTTTATATATATATATATATATATATATATACTCATTAGTTTCAGTGAAAAGAATCGAAATAATGTTTTGCAATGTCAGACTTAAATGGGTGTTTTCTAAAGTGAGGAATTAAATTGATCAATACTTGTAATGTCAAATGGTTAGAGTTGGAGTTTAAACAAATGGAAACTCTATTTTGTCTTTCTGATTTCTTTCTCTTAAAAGTATTTTTGTAAAGAGTTCCATGAAATATGGATATCTCGCATTGTTATCCTGGCATTTGATCTTCAATTCCGTAATTTCAAGCTAATTTTATTTTATATATGGCGACTCTCTATATAGTTTTGATTTGGGGATGGATGACTTGTGATAACCTTGAGAAAGACACTTACAACTGAAAGAAATGTTGTTCTTCCTATAAGTTATGTACACCAATTATTAATGTTCAATATTATCTAGTTTTTCATGATAGACTAGTTTCTTAGAGGGAAGAATGTTGTTGTGTTGGAAAAAGTCGCAGTTTCAAATCTAGAGATTTGTCTGTGTAGGCCTATTAATTATATATATATATATATATATATATATATATATATATATATATATATATATATATATATATATATATTTCCATGCTAATCAATACCCTATTAGTAGGATTCCATCTCTTGCACCAGGTCCCTTTGGTGAGTATATATATAATTGAATAGTAAATACATATATACATACAGATGTAGAGAGAGATAGATAGCTTGTCTTTTCAGTGCTCCAAGGAATTAGCTATACTTAGTTACAGAGAAAAAAGGTGACATAAATAAGTTACTGTATCGTATCTTTCTCTCCTGGGAAGGTGCAGTTGAAGGAGAATAACTTGAGGGGTGATGATGCATGTGGTTGGCATGGGAGAGTGTTCCACCATTCTGTAATCACGTATCATGAGATGGGTTAAAATCACCTATTTAACTCGCACGTTGAATCTGCATCCAGAAACAATCAATGTGGTCTTGAAGAAGCTTCATATATGCATTGAAATTCCCAATAAGTGAGTGGTTAAAGATCAAAACACCTAGCATGAGCTCCTAAGAGAGGACATGATCAGTTCATATCTTGAGGATAGAATGCATCTTAAAGAAGGAAGGGGGATTAGTTTTAACTATGCGTATGTTTCTGACCAAAAGAATGAAATAAAATCTCAGTCCATCTAGGATATTGATACTTATAAGAAAACTTAATGTTATTGTGAGTTAAAAATATGTGCTGGTAGTCTCTGGAAGCTTCATAACAACACTTATTGCTTCTGCTTGAGAGTGCAGAATATGAGTGTAATGGTGTCATATTGAGAATTTTATATTATCATGTTACTGTATATGATACATCTTTGCTAAATTTTTTATCATCTATATTAACTATATTAAAGTTCATACCAGCAATAGTCTATTAATAAGTTGATTTCATTCAATTTTTTTAACAAAATATGAAGTTGAATTTTGAATATATAACTAAAACACTTCACCAAATATCAAAAGTGGTGAACTAGGTTTTCCCAGGTAGATTTACCATCAACGAAATTATTATTAAAAAACACCACTAATTATCTACAATTGGACAACAGTGTAAAACTTTCATAAGGTTTTATTTAATCTTTTTGGTGAAGATTGATGTCTAACAAGTATGTACGGCCATGGAGGGCCCTCTCTGACAAGGCAACAGGTGCTGCCATATGTTCATGTTTTAGGCAACGCGTTGTAGTGTTCTGAACGATTCTCTCTCAACCACCAACATGCATCAGAGTCATGTATATATGTAGAACCCAAAGGGGGTATAGCACAGTGTTAACGTACCAGTTCTGCAGTGTATTTCACAAGGCGGTTTCTGACTCGATTCTTGTGAAAAGCATAGAGGTTTACCTATATCACTCTAACTCCATGCTACGGAGTTTTCCCTCCACAGTTTTACACCACCAAAAGATGTCTACAATTTGCACACTCAACATTTAATGATTAGAGGGTGATTTTTGGATGTTCTTAGTAGGTATTAAGTTAACCTTCGTTGGTTTCTCAGACACTGCGTTTGCAGGTGGAGATCTTTGGAGAAATATGAATGTTAGAAGAAAGAGACTTTTATTGTTCTGAACAGTACTCCCCCTCTACTGATATGGCAGGGGCAGGTTTGCTCCCATGTTTAAAAGCTGTCATTAATTTTTATTTCTATTTAAGCTTTTTTTCTTTTTTCTTTTCTCTTTTAACCACTGGATGAATACGTATCATTCACATCTACTGCAACATTTACTAAAAATAGAGATTAGTGAATCTTATTTTTTCTTCTATCATATCAGTTTTTTTTTTCAAAACCTGACTTAAGGTGAATAATCATACAACATAAATATCGGCAAATTGACCAAACAGGTATAATTTCCTTTATTTATTTTTAAAATAGATACATTTTTAAAACTTTTGGGATATAGGTAAGTCGTGCATTGATGAACGACTTCAGTGTAAAAGAATACGACTTTGATTAAAGTTGTATATGAATAAATTGATTTTTTTAATATGATAATTTTTTTTAAAGTTAGGTTCTAATTAATTATTTTAGTATAATTTTTTTAGTTGAAGTTGTCAATTTTAATTTAATTTATTTTATATAGAAGTTGTCAATTGTTTAACGAATTTAGTTTAAATAATTTCAAATTAAATTTTTATTTGTAAAATTTTATTTAATATTTAAAAATTAATAAAATAAATAATTAAATATTATTTAGATGTCTATAATATTAAAAAGAAAATATAAATTTTAATGAAAAAAATATGTATTTATTATATAGAAAAATGATTTTACATTTTACTTCTTTGGAACAATTTATTCATCTTATTGTTAATGTGGTTTGTTGCTAGTCTTCCTAATTATTGTCAACGTAGACTTCAATTAAGAATAAATTATAGACTTAAATAAAAAGACCAATAATCTTCGTTTCGAACCAGATGATGAAACTGTATCTCATAAATCTTGTAAATAGTTTGTAGTTTACACACTTGGTCAACATATGTGTCAATGTGTAAATGACAATACAAATATACAACAATGATACTAGAACAAGGAAGTAGTAGACATTGAAACTCTCTATAATTACACTACCAGTCATTTAATTTGACTGTATAATAATTAATTAATTATTTATTTAATATTATTTATGTCTAAATAATAATTAATTAATTATTTTTTATTTTAATAAATATTGAAATCAAACTTTTTTACTAAATAAAAATAAAAAATTAATTTAAAATATATGAAGTAAAGTCCTCATTCAATTAACGACTTCAATGAAAAAAATTAATTAAAATCGTCAGTTAATTGACAATTTCAATATTAAAAACATAACAACTAAAGTCATAGTTTAAAAGGCAATTTCCTTAAATAGAAAATTGTACTAAAATTATGTATTCAAGTAAGACTTAAAAAAAAAAGAAGTCATATGTGTTTTGAAGAACAAGTTTAATTAGTCATTATTTTCTAGGAATTGGGTGTGATGGTGATAATGGTAGTGGGAATTTGAGGGTCAAATTGCGAACTTTAACTCAAACCAATTCGATCTATATTAATCAAAAAAGTTATTTTTCTGCTCACATTTGTAATGACATCTATGACAATCTTTTCTCTGTGTTTCTCTCTTTCCCATTTGCTGATTTTACATATTGCCATGCATGCCATATGTGATCCAATTGGAGTCTAACAACAATACCTATGCCATCTATTAACCCCCTACGTTGAATGGAATATAATTTGGTAGAAGCACAAGGTACTATTGGTCAAACTGCACTGTTGCACAATATTTCAAATATTCCTTTGTTAATACCCCTAGTTAATAGTTTTTCTAATTATGCTAAGATGTTTTTAGTAATCTTTGTTTTTAATTTGAATGAAAAATAATTCACATTCTATATTATATTATATTATATATAGAGTGAGTATAGGTAAATGTAAATATATTTTATAAACTGGTTTTATATTATGTCTAAACTCATTCTCTTAAATGGTATTAGTAATATTTATGATTATTTAAGATTACTCACAAATATTTAATTTGTTCTGTGTGATGACTACATTTTTCAATTCCTATACATTATCTATTTTGGAATTTTATAGTGAATACAATAATAAACTTTCGAGTAATCATTTTTTTTTAACTGTTTCTATTAACAGTATGGAAAACGTTCTGGAACGATATGAGAGACATGCCCATATAGGGCAACTTGTTGAAGATGGTGATGAATCACAGGTGCCTCCTCCATCATAGCTTTTTTCTATATCTATGCCTAGTTATATTATTGATCACCCAACACCATGATTATTTGTGTTTTTTTTTTTATTTAAATAACTTCATTTTATACCTCCTAGTATGTGGTTTTTAACCTTCCCTTTTAATTTTGCAATTTATTCTTCTCGTGTTTCAAATTAGGTGAATTTGATTCATCTGTTAATGAAAATGTTGACATCAAGTGCTAAAAACTGAAAAATAAACGCACATATTTATAAAACATTTACTAAATAATCACTTATATAATATTTTTTACCACTTCATATCTATATATATTCACTATTTTAAAAAATCATGTTTTTGATTATTTTGGTGGATAACAAAAACAGGAGACAACTTTCTTTTTGTTTCCCAACTTGTCTTTCTGCTGTCCAAAGGTGAAAGAATATGTTGTCTTGTTTTAAGAATGGAAGAAGTTTGAAGATAGTGATGTAATGATTAGCAAATTTTGAAGAAGTGAATAAGACATAGTAAGGATCTGTGTAGTAGCAGAAACTGCACAAGAGAAATGTTGAGAGATAAAGTGTAAACATGACAACCTTGAAGTGACTGTGTGAGTAGTAGGCAGAAGCTATGCATGAGAAAAGTAAAATAGAAAATAAAAAAATATGTTTATATGATTGGTTATACAAAAAGAGAGAAAGAGAAACGAATATCAAATATAAAATCCTTACTCTATTCTTGCAATGGTTCACGTACATGGGATGGAGTTAGTTTTCAAATTAGTGTGTGTGTGTGTGTGGTGTTTATATGTCTCTTCAAATTATTGTAGGGCAACTGGTCCTTGCAATGCTTCAAGCTCACCGGAAAAGTTGAAGTCTTAGAGAGAAACTTAAGGTACATACTTGATCCTTCTGGTGTCAACATAAGCATTTTGTCTTGTTTTTTACACCAAAAAAAACATCTAATAGTTCCATTTTTTCTTCATAATTATCATTTTCTAAGTAATAAAAAACTAGCTAACTTAATTAAGACAGAAAATTTAGATGATTTTGGCAAGTTTCTTTACACTTAGAAAAACATGTGAGTGTATTAAGTTTTTTAAGAAAAAATTGTATTTTTTTTTTCAGGTAATGAGTTTAATTTCAATTCATTTACATGGTCTAAGTTTAGGCTTTAATTTCAGTTCATTTTAATTTTCGGGAACATGCAATAATATTTAATAATTTCTCTAGTTTGAGATGTTTCAAAACCATTATTTTGTGTTAAAATTAAAATCACAACTTGTAACATCTTCAATGTTTAGGAACTTTGTGGGACAAGATCTGGATCCCTTGAACTTGAGAGAGCTTCAGAGTTTGGAGCACCAGCTTGACACAGCTATAAAGCGCATCCGAACTAGAAAGGTAGAAAATTGCTTTATCATCTGCATAGAAAGAATATTTATATGTATAACATTTTTCTGGTTAATCTTCAATTCATCATTACTACTCTTGCAGAACCAAGTTATGAATGAATCCATCTCAGATCTGCAGAAAAAGGTAATGGGGTTGGTGACTAAGTGTGTTTCTCTATTATATGACTATTTTTTTTTTCTAACATAATATTTAACCAAATTTAGAAACAAAATAAAAATGTGCACAAACCTTAAATGACAAGATGAAAAATCTTAATTTCTAAATTTCTATTTTGACATTTTTCTTCTACAATTCTAACTTTTATAAGATGCATACAAATATAGTCTTCAATAACATGTGTAGCTATATTTTACTTTAAAAAAGTTGTATCTTCTAGATAAAAATATTAACAATCATCTTAACAAAAATTTTATCTTGAATATTTTGGCATTACATGAGATATGGTAGTTACAATAAAATTATTAGCATTATACTTCATTTTAAAAATTGACTTGATAAGAAAGTAATATGATAATAATAATAAAAAAAACTTTCAATTAAAAGAATTATCTCTAATATTTTTCAAAGCAATGACCATAACTGTTGCAACTTTCATGACCCATGAAAATATATTCAACATAAATTTCCAAAAATCTCAAAGATTTCGTCTCTTTTCTTCTTCTCTTCAAGTGGAGTTTTATTTAAATCTACGTTTTTAGTAAAACAAAATGGTATCTTTTTTTCTTCGATTTTATTAAAAAAGTAAAATAAAATAAAATCTTTCATTTCATTGACATAAACTCACCCATAAGAAATAATTTCTTTCTAGTATTTGTCTCAAATTCAAAATCCTTATATTAATTATCTTACATACAAATAAGACTTCTTACAAATAAAACATTTGAAATATATTTTATAGCTGTTGGACTTAATAACTCATTTTCCTTTGACATAAACATTTTCTCTTAATTGTATTGCATAATTTTCTAAAATTAGTTGTTGATTATATTCTTTATTTTCTACTTTGACGTTATTTGCTACCTGAAGATCTGGCTGTATTGTGATCTTCATTTGTCCCTACATAAATCTATTCAAATATCTGGTCTGCATGTGACAGGCAAAGCAATTGCAAGAACACAATGGCACACTTACAAAGAAGGTAGAAGCCACATGCACTCTCTAATCTATCAGTTTTCTATAAGAGAAAGGGAAAAAACTTGACTTGTTACATTTATGAGCAGATTAAGGAGAAAGGGAAGTCAGTGGCTGAACGTCCACAATGTGTGCCTGAAACCTTAGGTCCAACATACCCTCCAGAGCTTCAACCACAACAAAGACTAGTTCCTTCTTTAACACTCGGGTATGTATATGTATATATCTCTTCTGATCTTGTCTTGCAAATATGAAATCAATAATTGGTACTGATATGCAAAGATGAAATGTTTAATAGTTTAAATGTTAATCAGATAATTTTTGTGTTCATTTGGTTTGGAATTGGCATAGTCCATTTTTAATGTGATCGAAACGTATATATTTAAAACAAGTAGGAACTTAACTTGTTTAACCAATCAAACCATGATTCAATTTTGGGTAAAGCTAATATATAAGGCTGCATAATGTGATTACAGTTGAAATATAAGTACTAAAGATGTTAAATGAAATTTACCTTTTTAAAAACTGTTTAGGGTTTAACTCCTATCAGTGGCAGCATTTCAGAGAAAGGGGCGAGAGAAAATACTATGGTGAATCTATTATAAAAACTAAATTTAAGAGAAAAAAAAATTCATGCACCATTACTACCTTGCATGCGAGTCTGTTAAACACAGAAATAAAAAAATAAAAAAAAAAACTTGAAGTTCCTCTCTCTATATATTTAAAAATTAAAGAGAGACGTGTCATTAGAAACCAAAAAGTGAATTATCCCATATATGCGTGGACATGACGAAGGTAGGTAGGAGAATTATATCTTAATTATCAAGAATACATATATTGCATTTGTTTGAGATTATAAAAAGTGTAAACATTGTGCAGTGAGAATTTACAAGCAGCACCATTGGAGGAAGTGGATGAAGAACGAGCAGTTCCTAGTACCACTACTCTCATCCCACCATGGATGCTGCATCATTTTACAAGATAAAGCAGCGTGACAGTGTTATGTTGGTGACATGTCATAGATGTTGTAAAAGCAGAAGCTATATATATCTATATCTATATATATCTATATATCAAAAACAAAAAAACATGATGATATGGGTAAGTGTTATATAAGTTGATGACTGCTCATTCATCAAATTTGATGGTGGGCCGAAAAGGTCATAAATTGATTTTTGCATGCTAATCATGGAGTGTACTTACTTTGAAGCAATAATAGTGTTATTTTGATCTAGGACAATGGTGTAAGACATTATGTAGTTTTCCTACGTTCTTAATTCATTATGGAAAACTACTCTACAGGATCTTTAGATTATTGATTTTCACAATATAACATACATCAATACATGAATCATATAAAGCACACTAACCTTGATCCATGAGAATCTATTCTTTTTCATCTTTTCATTCTCCAATCTCCTTTTCCCAATCTATCTCTTTGTCTTTCTTTCTCTTCTCACGCTTTCTTGATGGTTTACCGTGAAAAAACTTTATGACCAGAGACAGAACCCTTTTTCCATTCAATTAACCAACGTCCATCAAGTTGATTACCAGTAAGTTAATATTTTATTTTATCTTTATTTTATTCTGACTTCACATAATAACCAATAGGTCCTCATATTTTTATTAAATCACATTTGGGCCCATTATTATATTTCACATGAGTCACATAATGGAATGAATTAATTAAATTAATTCTAACATTCTCCCACTTGACTCATGTGATGTCATACGATTCCGTGATTTAATACTTAAGTCATAATGCGCATTAAAAGACCTTACATAAATTGGTTCTATCATCATTCATAATTAAAGATACAGCTATAACAAGAGTCATGGCGGTTACATGTCATTCAATCGACAGGCTCCCTTCCATGTACCACTATATTATCTCTTTCTCCTTAATATGACTTTATAATGAGAAGTCCATAATGGGTTCAAACATAATATCATTTTAATAATAATAACATAATTTGTTTTCTTCATCATAATTTGCATGCATATAAATAAAGAAGAAAACACAAAATTCGAGAAACTTATACATTAAAGATCTCGAGTGTCACATAAGCATTAATAATAACATTAACATTCAACATTCACTAGTGAACATAATGCCCACATTCATTATATGGCCAGGCAAATAATTTGGGCGATAATCCCTTTGTTAAAGGATCAACAATCATAAGATCAGTGCTAGTATGTTCTATTGACACTATACGTTTCGAACTTCTTCTTTAACGGCAAAGTATTTCAATTCCATATGTTTAGCACCTTTGGAATACTTGTCGTTCTTAGAAAAGAAGACTGCTGCGGAATTGTCACAATAAATTTTCAGCGGCTTGGCAATGCTTGTCGACTACTCCAAGTCCCGAAATAAAATTCCACAACCAATTAGCTTGAACTGTGGCCTCAAAGCATGCCACAAATTCAGCTTCCATGGTGGATGCAGGCAATGACAGACTGCTTCGCACTTTTCCATGAAATCACTCCTCCAGGTTAAAAGATATACATAACCAAATGTGGACTTTCGTGTATCCATATAACCAGCAAAATCTGAATTTGTATATCCAATCACCTTAAGGTGATCAACTTTCCTATAAGTAAGCATGTGATTCTTTGTTCCTTGTAAGTATCTTAAAACTTTCTTTGCAGCCTTCCAATGATCCAGTCCAGGATTACTCTGGTATCTACCAAGCATACCAACTGCAAAACTAATATCCGGCCTCGTACATGTTTGAGCGTACATCAGACTCCCAACAACGGATGCATAAGGGATATTTTCCATCTGTTTCCGTTCCAAGTCATTCTTTGGACATTGCATGAGACTAAATTTGTCTCCTTTACGTATTGGAACGGGAGATGCAGAACAATTCTCCATTACTGAATCTCTCTAAAACTTTATTAATATATGCTTTCCGAGACAAACCTAACATTCCTTGTGATCTATCACGGAATATTTCTATTCCTATCACATAGTATGCCTCACCCATATCTTTCATTTCAAAGTTGTTAGAGAGAAACTTCTTAGTCTCACTTAATAGACCAAGATCATTAGTCGCAAGCAAGATATCATCAACATACAGAATCAGAAATATAAACTTGCTCCCACTGACCTTCAGATATATACACCGATCAACAGTGTTTTCCTTAAATCCAAAGGACAAAATAGTATCATTGAACTTAAGATACTATTGTCGAGAAGCTTGTTTAAGTTCATATATTGATTTCTTAAGTTTACACACCATATGTTCCTTTCCTTCTTTAATAAACCCCACTGGTTGATTCATATAAACATCCTCCTCTAAATCTCCATTCAGAAAAACAGTTTTAACATCCATTTGATGCAACTCAAGATCATAATGAGCTACTAATGCCATGATAATTCTAAAGGAATCTTTCTTAGAAACAGGTGAAAATGTTTCCTTATAATCAATGTCGTCTTTCTGAGTAAAACCTTTGGCAACAAGTCGGGCCTTGTAACGTTCGATATTGCCATGAGAGTCACGCTTAGTCTTAAAGACCCATTTACACCCAACACTCTTACATCCTTCTGGCAATTCCACAAGATCCCATACACCATTATGTGTCATTGATTTAAGCTCATCTTTCATAGCATCTAACCATTTATCAGAATTATCATCATTAATGGCATCTGAAAATGAAACTGGTTCATTATCAATACTTAGGTCATTTTCTGACTCTTGTAGATAAACCACGTAATCATTCAAAATAGTAGACTTTCTTTCTCTGTGAGATCTTCTTAATACTATTTCCTGTGGTTGTTCTATTATCGGATCATTGTTAATCGCAGGATCATTACTTTATTGTTCTTCTTGATTGTCGTGTGATTCTACAACATTTGGAACAACAACTCTTGAAGATGTACTAGTTATTGGAACTTGTACTCTAATTTCCTTAATCTCCACATTTCGTGAAACTTCACTCCCACTGGTTTCACCATTTTCAATGAACCGAGCATTTCCAGTTTCAACAATTCTTGTACTATGAGTAGGACAGTAAAACATATACCCCTTTGATTTTTCTGGATAACCAATGAAATATCCACTGATTGTTCTTGCATCCAGTTTCTTTTCTTGCGGATTATAAATTCTTACTTCTGCCTGACAACCCCAAACATGTAGGTGTCTTAAACTAGGTTTCCTACTTATCCATAACTCAAAAGGAGTCTTTTGAACCACTTTACTAGGAACCACTGTTCAACAAATACATGGTAGTCTTCAAAGCATACATCCACAACGATACAGGTAAACATGAATTACTCAACATACTCCTAACCATATCCATTAAGGTTCAATTACGCCTTTCGGATACACCATTTTGTTGCGGTGTACCTGGCATTGTGTATTGAGCACAAATACCACGCTTCTCAAGGAACTTAGCAAACGGACCAGGGTGTTGTCCACTTTCATCATATCTTCCATAATACTCACCACCTCTATCTGACCTGACAATTTTTACCTTTCTGTCTAATTGCGTCTCCACTTCGTTTATATAACTTTCTAAGGCATTTACTGCTTGAGATTTCTCATATAGTAAATAGACATATCCATAACGCGAGAAATCGTCAATGAAAGTGATGAAATACTTCTCTTTATTAAAAGAATTTACGTCAAATGGACCACATATATCAGTGTGTATGATTTCAAGAAGTTGAGTGCTTCTTGTGGCTCCTTTCTTTGTGTGTTTTGTTTGTTTGCCTTTAATACAATCCACACATACATTCAGATCAGTAAAATCTAAATCCGGAAGGATTTCATTCTTTACTAATCTTTGCATTCTTTCTTTGGAAATATGTCCCAAACGCTTATGCCACAAATAAGCAGATCTTTCATCCACCAAACTACGTTTAGTGCCAACATTATGACGCAAGGTCATGAGAGTTTCAGCATATAAATTATCCAAATTCAATTTATATAAATCATCATAAAGTGTACCAGTTCCAATCATACATGTATGCTTAAATAAACTGAAACAACTATTCCCAAACTTAAAAGAGTATCCAGCAACATCAAGTTTAGACAAAGAAACTAAATTTCTAGTGATACTAGGTACATAAAAAGTATCCATAAGGTCTAAGTGATATCCAGTGTCAAGGATTAAACGATAAGTCCCGACAGCTTCCACTGGAACCTTGACTTTATTTCCCATGAAGACGAACTTCTCATTTGGGTTTATGGTTCGGGTTGAAAGGAATCCTTGCATTACATTAGAAACATGAGTCGTACATCTAGAATTAATCCACCAAGTATTATGGGGAACTTCAGTTAAGTTTGATTCAAAACATACGTAAGCACTATGCTCACCTTTCTTTTTGAGTCAAACTTTACACTTTATGCAGTCCTTTTGGAAATGTCTAGACTTCCCACAGAAATGATATTTGTTATTTTTCTTCTAAATATTAGTAGAGGACTCATTAATCTTTAATGGTCATTTACCCTTTCCATGTTTCTTAACAACTTTCTTTTTAACTCCTTGATTTTTCACGTAATGAATAGAGTGACTTCTTAGGTTCTTGAGTCTAGTCTCTTCCTGAACTAACATACTGTGCAATTCATGCACATTCCATTTGTCTTTCATGGTGTTATAATTCATCTGAAACGGACCATACTCGAGCGGTAACGAGTTCAAAATGAACTGCACAAGAAAATTTTCTTCCACTTGTCATTCCAAAAGACTTGAGTCTTGCTTCGCGATATTTGTAATTTCGATTACGTGTTCATGCATACTACGAGAACCATCAAACTTCATGGTGGTCAACGTACTCATCAATGTCCAGCGAGATATTTGTCAGCGAGTTTGAGAGCGCTCTTCCACAAATTTCATAAATTCTTTCACGTCTTTAGTTTTGGAAAAAAGCATACTTAATATTGCTTGCAATACTCATTCGCATAAACATAAGACTAAGTCTGTTTGACCTTTTCCAATATAATGAGTTTTCTCTTTGTTGCTACTAGCATTAGTGAT